GTCCCTTCTTGTTGTGACATGGGTCAGTGTCTCCTTCCAAAGAAGAACGTCACTCCATAGTGTGAAGCACTTACAGTTTTTAATCATAGGGTCCCCTAGAGCCTTTGACTTCATTTGGTCCTCAGTTTCCCTATCTGTCTAGGGTGGGGGTGGGATGAGAACCGGGCCATACTGTGGGATGGTCTGTATGTCAAATGTGTTGCTGATTGGTCAATAAATAAATCACTGATTGGCCATTGGCTAGGCAGGAAGTATAGGTGGGACAAGGAGGAGAATAGAGCTGGGAAGTGGAAGGCTGAGAGGGGACACTGCCAGCCGCCATCAGGACAAGGAAGATGTAAAGTACCGGTAAGCCACAAGCCACGTGGCAAGGTATAGATTAATAGAAATGGATTAATTTAAGCTGTAAGAACAGTTAGCAAGAAGCCTGCCACGGCCATACAGTTTGTAACCAATATAAGTCTCTGTGTTTACTTGATCGGGTTTGAGCGGCTTGGGACTGGCGGGTGAGAGATTTGCCCTGACTGTGGGCCAGGCAGGAAAACTCCAGCTACAGGGCCACAAACTGGGTTCTGAATTATTTTTATTCACCTCTAAATCTGGGGCCTGAGGGCCAGGACTGAAGTTATTGGAGGCTGTTGAGGCCATTGTTGGTGTCACCTAGGGCATGCGGACTATGGCCTCAGGAGAAGCTTTGTCACTTCTGTATTCTACAGAAGGTAATTGTCACCTGAGTCACAGAGCATCTAACTCACATGACACGCTGGAGCAAGTCCTATTCTGTGGCAAAACTAGCCTTCCTTAAGTAGTTCAAAACAGTGGCTGCTTAGGGCTGAGCCTGTTAATCCTGAAGCTATGGCCTCTTCCAGGTCCCCAGCCTACTCTCTGGGACTTTCAGCTTGTGTGTGGCCTTGGGCTCCCTGCCACCTGGCCTCCTCTCAGAAAGCTGGGTCATCTCCAGTCTTCTCTCTTTTTACTATTCATTAACAAAGAAGGTTTCTAGGTTTAAATGAAGTTTGTGATCTTTATAGAAAAGTGTAACATTCCAAACTGAGAAAACCACAAATTCTTTGCTATTCCTTTCCCCAAAACGACCACAATTCTTAATATTTTGGTCTCTTCACACCTTCTTAGACAGGTGCCGTTGGGAAGGGGACTTGGAGGGGAGAAGGCCTCCTAGGGGAGGTCCCCAGATCATGGCGCCAGCACAGACATCCCTCCCAGCAAAAACTGAGTTTCTGCAATGACATCTCACTATGACGTGTGTCAGCATACCACTTTGTGTGAAGCCCCTGGGAATAGAGAACAGGCAGGGCTCAGAGCTTGATCAAATGCACCTCAGGTTAGATGCCAGCCAGGTGGTCAGGGTTTGGAAAACAGCTCTCAGAATTCCCTTGTGTACCTTAGTGGTACGTCTCCCCCTCATTGTAGTAACTGCAACCTGTGTATAGATAGCAGGTCCTCATTTAAAAACCAAGGCGCCAGAAGTGGCGGCCCCCACCTCCATAAGGCACGGAGACTCTGACTTTTTATTTGGAGAGATCGAGGAGGAATACTCACCCCTCTCAGGGCCATACTGGTGATGAGAGGTGATGGAGAACAGGGCCAAGGGGATCTTCTTGTTGCTTTTGAGCAGGATGGGCAAAGAAGGGCAAAGTCCTTGAATATACTGAAGAGGAGGAGGGTTGCCCAGCCCTGGCACTGAGAGACAAAGCTTGTCCCTGGGAAAGAAGGGTGGAGGCCTTCCAGATGCCTACTCCTGAGGTCACCCCCAGAGGCTGGTCTCTGTGAGACACAGGCCTTCATGGCTTTGAAGGCTAAGTGGGCACTGGCATTTGGATTGTTGCTCTGAGGTGGCCTGAAGAGGATATTTCAAGCCATGCTCAGAGAGTAGAAAATCAGCCATAAGCACTCATGGGCATGTCCGAGATGGCAGGGGAATCGGATACAGGGGACTCTAGTCTTTCCATGGTTCTCAGCTCTGGCTTGGGCCCCTTCAGGGATTCCAGTATAGTATGTCTCATCTTTGCCAGCCAATAGGCCTCAAATGAGGAAGAATAATAACCCATGGCATGGGTTTGTGCTAAATGTGTTTCCAACAACTACTTCAGAGCCCCAGACCTCAGTCCTTTCAGCCCTGGGGCCATAAGCAACAGCCAACAGGTCTTTTCATCAAATGGCCAGATCCAAATGACTTAGTAAGCAGTATGTCTTCTCAGCACCTTTGCAGGCATTTGGGAAAGAATTCTTATAACTGGAAAGATAATCAGTTTAGGCCGCTGACACCTGTAATGAGCTGGTGCACATGGTGAGCCTTGTTCAGCTTCTCTAACATTGCAGGCAGACCGCACCACCATTTCCATTTTATATCCCATGTGGTCCCCCCCACCCCCCCACCCCCCGTAGTCCCTGCAAAGTCATGCTTCACAAAGATTTGACCTTCTTGGTTGGGATGTGTTCTGGTCTCACATGGATGCTGTGGGTGGTTTCGAGCTGGCAGCTGGCACAGTGGCTGGGTACCCAGCAAAGCCTCACACTGAGCTGTCATGGGTGACTTGGCACACAGTTTGGGAGTGTGGGATGACTTTATCAGACCCTCATAACAATCTTGGGAGATATATACATACATATATATATATATATATGTATGTATGTATGTATGTATGTATGTATGTATGTATGTATTTCCACCTCACCAAAGTAGAAGCTAAGGTTCAGAGAAGCCAATGTTGGATTAAGACAACACAGATGGTTCGTGAGAGTGAGGACCAAGGCTGACCAGGTCTCCTGATGCTCTGATAGTCCTTTGGACTACCAACTGGATGCCTACAGCCATGCATCCTTGGGGACGTGGGGTTTTGTCCTCAGTCTAGTATCTGGAACCAAAAGGAGTTACTGTCCCTCTTTTGGGGCCCAGCCCCTCCCCAGCCCTAAGAAACAGGGTGTGGACACTGATGGAGTCTATTGTTTTCCTTCCTCTAGGAGGCCCACTGTGCTCTTGCTGTGTCCCAGACCCCATGGGGCTCTCCTTCCTCCCCACTTATGGCTGCCAGAGTAACCGCACGGCCAGCGTGGCGGCCCTGCGCATGAAGGCCCGTGAGCATTCAGAAGCCGTTCTGCAGTCAGCCAATCTCCTGCCGTCCACCAGCAGCAGCCCCAGCCCCGCCTCCAAGCAGGCACCTCCAGAAGGCAGCCAGGACAAGACCTCCCCAACCAAGGAACAGAGTGAGGGAGAGAAGAGTGTATGAGGGTCCGGAGTACCCAGCCTGGAGCCCTGCCCACCCCCTGCTTCTCTCAGCCTCAGCCCTGCAACTCTCCGAACCACAAGGAGTAGCCACCTCCTCATGGATCTGGCAGGGAAAGAGAGGCCTACAGCCATTTGACACCCGGAGAGTCACTCCAGAATTCTGCTGGTGGGCTGTGTTGTTGTGGCTTTTCTTGGTGACAGTTCCCAATGGCACCCAGTGGCTCGGGAAACCGCTCTGTGGGGAGGCCCTTGGGTTGTTTGTTTGTTTGTTTGTTTTCCAGGCCAAGCAGCATTGGAACAAAGCGAATTTGTTCACCTCAGCCCTCTTCTAGAGCTATCTGGGGAGGTCTTGTCAACTCCGAGGACTGTGGCATGGATCACCTCTGAAAGACCCCAAGAAGTGACATCTCAACAGGAAAGGAGACAGTCACTCTCATATTGTTCCAGAACCACAGAACTGGTAGATACCAGTTCTCACTCCTCTCAGCCAAGACTGGCAACAACCCCCTTTCTCTTGTTTGAAGGTCTTAGCTGAGGTTTTGGGTAGGAAGTAACAGGATGTGGGGTGACTGCACAGTGGTCCTAACCCTGGCAGAGCTCCCCGGACACATCTGGCTGGTCCCAGTCACACAGCCTGTCGGTTCTGTGACCCGGGGGCTGCTATCTCGATACTGCGGGTGTGGGGCAAGTGTGGGTCCCCTGCAATTCGAGCGTCCACCTGCAGGCCCTGTGTCTCTTCCGAAGAATGGTAAAGAATGCTGGGAAGGTCACCAACCAGAAAGGAGCTTTGTGGCCTGTGAAAGGTCAAGAGCCCCTAAAGAGGGCAGAGAGCCCCAGGAAGTCTCCTGAAATACGCACGCACAAGTCAACTGCCCTTCTTCACGTGGAGGGGGGTCTGCAGGGGCCGATGAGACAGGACTGGCCGATGTGCCAACGTGCAGACAGGGAACCCAAGAAGATGACTCCTTATGGTAGAAGAGAATGGATCCCAAAGGGCCACACTGCATAGAGATTTCTGCCTCAGACTGGTGTGGCTGTGTTCTTTCGCGTGGGTGGTGACCCGGAAGAGATCAGAGGGAGAGGTGCAATAGTGTGAGCCCCGCCCCCTCCCGTCCTGGGAAGGGTGGTGGTCCACGGGTGGCGGCAGCTCTGGCTGATGATGTGTTCATGCAAAGAGCTGCTGCTTTCGTGAAGGCTGTTTTCATTTCAGTTCTGATCGTCGAAAGGCCCTCTGCCTCCCTCTTGACTTTTCAGGAGCCCCTATCCCTGTAGTCCTCCCAAGTGTACTGTGCCTCACGATTACCGCATCGAACGCATTTGATAGAACACACTGTCTCCTTTAAAAAAAAAAAAAAGAAAAAGAAAAAGAAAAAAAAAAAAAGCCAGATCCTTGTTCCTGCTGTATTTTGCTTGTTGAGTACAAAGATGAAGTGATTCGCCAAAAAGCGGCCAAGTTGCTTCCATTTGCCTGTAATTACGAAGGTTTGGTTGAGCAGTGTATGCTCCAGCCCTTATGCGCACTAACTCTTCAATCTAATTGTTTGATTAAACTCGTATTTCCTCCAGAAAGGTACATAAATAAGTGAACTGTTGGGCAAATTAAGAATACTTAACAGCATTGCATCCGAAAAGTAGTTATGCTGATTAAATTTTGTGTCCTTGAGGACTTTCAGGAAATTACTTTTGATCGTCAATAACACAATTAAGTAAACTACACACACATTAGCATGAATAATTGATAAGAAATTATGTATTACCACGAAGCACTGATTTAATAATTCATGACGCGACACTCCAGTGACTGTGCAAAACTGGATAACATTGAAAAGTCTGCCTGACGTTCTGGAAAGAAAGGAAAAATAAGTGAGCGCCAAACCTCTGCAGAGATATCTGAGCACTTAGTTTTGCTGTACAAAGGGGAAAGGTAACCGATGCATGATACTGTTTCTGTTCGTTTAAACACCTGAATAAATTTAGACTTTAAAGACCTCCCTAGACTTCTCTTTCTCTTCCTAGTCCCTGGCCCCTAAGCTTCCGGGCTGGGTGGAGTCTGTGCTCTCTAATACTCCATTTTGGCCAGCGTGCAAATGGAAATGTTCTTGAAGCTTGCAGGAGGAGGACTTGGAAGCCTCAGGCACAAGAACCTCTTAGCAGATGCTGGGGCAGGTTGGAGGCCCCTGTGCAATCCAGAGTTCTCCCTCAGGTCTTCAGGACTCAGGCCACCTGCCCCACCTTGTCCTAATCAGGGCCATCACTGGTGAAGTGCTCTTTGGGGCAGTTATAGATGGAGCCCCTGTGGGCTGCCCTGTCTGCAGAAGTTCATAATGTGACTATAAAAAGACATCCAGTTTTGGTCTGGAAAGGAGGTTCAGGCCCTAGGGATTGATTGATGATTGATTAATAACTATTATTAATTTATTAGTTGAAACATTCCAAAGAGCATATCTTAATGCAGGGCGGGTTATGGTAATAGGGCTTAGAAGCCACCGCAGCCATGACATGGGCAGTGGCCAGCCTTGGTCAGGGTGGTGTTCTGGGCAGAGGAGTGATAGCTGGGCCACGGGGTATCACAGTGGGTGACCTGGGTACAAGGCACTGGGCCATTGCCAGGGGGCTTCCTCCCTTTGTCAGTTTGCATTTTATTTAGGACTATCTAGTGCAGGGGTCTCTCAGGTGGGTAGCAAGAGCTTTGTTAGACACCACTGTCCCATTGGTTGGGAACACAACAGGGGTTAATGCATTACACCAATACAATCCACCCATGAGGTAAGTACTGCTCCTGCTCCAGTACAACCCTATCTGAAAATCCAAAGTCCAAAATGTTCCAAAACCCAAAAGCTCTTGAGTGCTGATATTACAGAAGTGGAAAATTCCATTCCACACTTCGTACCCAAAATCATTGAAACAACTATGTATGGTCTATGTAAAGTGTTTATGAAACACCAAACCTCATTCGGGTCTTTTCCCCAAAGCATCTCTTTATATTTATGAAAAAAAATTCTAATATCTGAAAACGTCTCAAATCTCAAACACTTCTGGCCACAAGCATCTGAGACATTCCTATACCCATTTAATGGATATAAAAACTGAGGGCAGGAAGATTGGATAGCGTCCCTAGAGTGACACTGCCTGGTGAGGTTCAGTGGAGGAACGGGCTCACTGCTGAGCACACAGCAGTGTTTAATGGCCCTGCTCCTATCATTAGGGCACAGGTGGCCTCTGAGAGCAGGTGAGTGGCAGAAGTCTGACAGATGGCAAGTGGGGCCGCTTTGTTGCTTTGCTTGCTGTCTATGGACTCTGGCCTGAAGGCTTGTGGGAAGGGAGGAGGCCTCCCTGGGTTCAGCCTAGCAGAGCCGAGGCCAGCCTGTTCCCTCTTGGTTTGCCTCTGGGCCAGAACACTAGCCGCCTGGTGTGTGCAAGTCTGTTTGGGGACAGACCCAGCAGGGATTCCCAGCCGCGATGGGATGAGAGCTCCTGGGCACCTTAGATGGTTTTTCTAGGGTGTTTACCACCAATCAGGCTGGGACTCAACCAATGCACACGATGAAACTTTCTGGCTTCATTAGAAAAAGTAAAACTTTTGCCAGTTCAGAGTCTTGCCCAAGGTGCACATTTGACATGTTTGAAATCCCAGCTCCTTTGGCTGTGTGGTTCTGACAAGTCATCTCACCTCTCTGTGCTGTAGCTCTTCTGTAACCATGGCAACAGGCTCTTGCGGTTATTTTGAAGGCGATGATTGGATCCATTTCTGAATGGTGCCTGGTGCAGAGAAAGCAAAGCGTGAAGGCTGGTTCTCTTGCCACCATGTCTCGTAGGTAGCAGGGTCTGGAAATTGTTTCTTAGTTGGAAACCTCATGTCCTCAAGAAGGAAAGGGGGGGGGGAAAGGGGATGAAGGAGCTCACCAGACCCCTTTTCCAGCAAAATTCATGGAAGAGCAGGGCTTCCAGCCAGAAAGAGGCATATGCTCAGGCTTGCACTTGACCCTCAGCACTGAGACAGGTGGAAGCAGGGTTCTGGGAGGATTGAGGATGCCCTGGTACAGGTTCTTGACCCTCAGCACTGAGACAGGTGGAAGCAGGGTTCTGGGAGGATTGAGGACGCCCTGGTACAGGTTCTTAGTTTCGTGCTAAGTTGAAACTTAAATCAAAAGGATACCAGGTCACTTCCTACGTCTCAGATTCATCGTGGATTTCAGGGGGGCAGGTATCAAGAACCAGGCAGTTGTTGGGGGTCTCCCTATTTCTTTCTGTGGCTCTCTGCAGAGAAGCCTCTGATATCTGCCCTGGGCCGCACAGACCCTGTTTCACGCCCCCTCTGTCTCATTCACCTGGACATTGATTGGTTCATGGTAGTTGTGGGGCTTCATCTGGACCGCTTGGGTAGTGGAACTGATCAGTCCAGCCAGGGCCCAGCAGATACTCCTGGTCCAGCGGAGTGTGGCCAATCAGGGCTGCCCAGGTTTCACCCAGTCCTAGATAGAGACAAGGAGTGTGCCTCTTAGGGCAGGCTGCGTTAGAGGCAGGGAAGGATAGATGTGGTGGAAAGAACCACCATAAGGATGATACGTTCCTTAAAGAGAGATTTGAGAGATTCATTCATAAAATGGCCATTGAGGGCTCCAAGTGAAGCTCAGAGTACTTGCCTTGTGGTCACAACGCCCTGGGTGGGATTCCCAGGACCACATAAAAGTAGTCGTGGTGATGCTTGCCTGTCCTGGCTCTCAAGAAGCGCTAGCAAAGGATCAGGGCTTCAGGTTGTCCTCTACTACACAACACGTTCAAGGCCAGCCTGGGCTGCTTGACCCACCTCCACTTAAAAGAGAAAGGCAGCAAAGCCCCAACCCAGGCTCCACTCCAGGACCCAGGAAATCCACTTCCTCGTAATTCAGCACTTGATATTTTCATAGCAGGGCTCGGCCACGGCTTCAGATCCACACAGAAGCACGAAATGTGTAACGTGCCTGCCCAAATCCAGGAGGCTCAAGGACTCTGTGGCCACACAGCACCTAACAGCCCCCACCTGCCTCCAGATGGCCCTTCCAGTGACAACGAAGCTCTTGCCTGGGAGAGAAGAGAACCACCAACAGCTGTTCAACATAAATGATGTGTGACATACCGGCCTGCATTTTCTCTGTCCTGACCATGGCCCCATTCTCCCTTCCAGTATGAGCTGTTCTCCCTCCAGAACCAGGCCCAGCAGCTCATTCCATCTTTTTGATTCAGAGAAATGGCCCTTGCTCTAGCCCTAGCCCGGGACTCCCCTACAGGAGTCCCCATATACATTAGCATCTCTACAGGACTGGCCTCCTGGGGCTGGGGAAACAGGACAGGTCTGGGAATCTGAGGTTTGACCTGACTACCTGTGTGACCTTGGGCAACTCAACTTCCCTGCTCCTCTCCAATACCTGTGGAGTGACCGTTACAACCCTCATTTCCAGCACACACGGTTGTTGTGAGGAGCCAAGGAGATGCAGAAGGTGCGGGCAGCTTCGGAACGGGTCTCAGGAGGACAAGGTCATTGGCACAGCTTACTGCAGCGTCTGGAGCTGCCTCCCGCGGCTTCAGTGGGGCCTGGTGAGATGCAGCCAGCCTAGGACTGGGGAGGAGCCAGAGGCAGGAAGTGAACGGCCCGGACTGTCCCCCGGGCTTTGCCTGCCTTGAGCTCCCCTCCTCCCCCAAGGTCGGGAGGGGCAGGGAGAGGGGCTAAGTGATCCTGTAATGGCCGCATCTGTCAGCAAGGGCCAAATGGTTTTTCCAGGAGTCGTCAGTGAGCTAATGACTCTGCAGAGGGAGAGAGAGCGGGTGATCGCTTCTCCTAAGTGGAGCACTTTCTCTACAAGAACGTTAGAGCAGCGTGGCCGCAGGCTGCCGGGGCTTGGGAACAGCTGCTCTGCCCACAGCCTCGAATTAGCTCCCTGCTCCTATCGGCCTGTCTCACACCTGCGGCCCGAGGCCAGCCTGCAGGTGGCAGTCCAGGTGGCGAACAGGGGGTGATCAGAAGCACAGCAGGGATGACCCGAGCTCTCCCCAGGAAACAAGGATTCCACATCATCCCTTGACTGTGTGTCTTCCGACCAGTCCCTTGACCTCTCCAAGCCTCAGTTTTCCCATCTGTGAGATGGACTCACAGAGTGTTCTCCTGGAATGTGTCTGGAGCTGTGCTGACTCTGTCGTGGAAACAGTGCGCCAATATGCTATGCAGTGGTTTCTGTCACCGAGGGTTACAAAAAACGGCTACTTTTCCAAGGATTGAATACACTAAAACAAAACAAAAACATCTTTATTTATTTCATAGTTTTTTTCAACTTTAATTTTATTTTGTGTATGAATGCAGAGGACAATTGGCAGGAGTTCCAGGGATTGAACTCGAGTCCTCAGGCTTGCCAGCATATGCCTTTACCTGCTGAGCTATCTCACTGGCCCAGTATTTTGGGTTAGCATATGAAGAAACTGGTTTCATTATGGCATTTCCGTTTGTATGCAGCACTATCCTTTTCCTTAATTATCCTGCTCCTCCTGTCCTCCTCTATGCCCCTCCCCCAGTCTACTGGTTCCCCCACTTTTCCAGAGGAGTAACTCCTCTGCTTTCTTCTCACATGCTGTGTATTCCATTCCCCTCTCACTTTCTCATTCCCTTAAGAATGCTGCCTCTCAGGCTGGGCAGTGGTGGCGCACGCCTTTAATCCCAGCACTCAGGGGGCAGAGATGGGCAGATCTCTGTGAGTTCGAGGCCAGCCTGGTCTACAGAGCGAGATCCAGGACAGCCAGGACTGTTACACAGAGAAACCCTGTCTCGAAAAAAAAAAATTGCTGCCTCTTTTCACACGATCCCCCTTTCCAGCTTTAGGACCTACACACATAAATATACAAACACGCATAATTTAAAATCTAAGTTCTGTATATAAGAGACAATGTGCTATTTGTCTTTCTGAGTCTGACTTACGTAACGATTTCCAGTTACATCTATTTTCCTGCAAATGTCATGATTTCCTTTTTCTTTCTAAAATTACTTTTTAGGTTAGCATACAAGTAATGGATGTCATCAGGCACCTTCACACACAGGTCATTAGACTTTGTTTTCATTCCTTCTCACCCTGCCCTCATGGCCCTTCTCCATGCACTGTCTCCCCTCCAGCTGGCTCCTTCTTCCTGCACCTCTGTTCTCCTTCCTTTTCTTGTTCTTCCTCCTCCTCCTCCTCCTCCTCCTCTTCTTCCCATTTCTGTTCTCCTGATACGTGTATTCTCACCACCCTTAAGACCTCTTCCTCCCTTCTCATAATTCCCTTTCTAGTTTAATACTCTGCACACTCACTCACACCCGCTCACTCAACCACACACACACACACACACACACACACACACACACACACACACACACACTTTTGCTTTTATTTTATTTTTAATTATGAGTATATGTGTAGATAATGTGCATGCAGGTATTCTCAGAAGTCAGCGGCATCAGATCCCCTGGCACTGGAATTATAAGCAGTTGTGAGCTGCCCAGTGTGGGTGGTGGGACCTGAACTTGGGTCTTCTGTAAGAGCAGCATGTGCTCTTAACCTCTGTACCATCTTCCCTGTCCAATAATTTAAAATCAAGATTGTTTCAACCAGCCAACCAATCAACCAACCAGCCAGCCAACCAACAAAACATGGTATTTATCTTCCTGAGTCTGGCTTATTTTGCTTGGCATAATGCTTTTCAGTTGTACCCATTTTCCTGGGACTGTCCTGACTTCATTTTTCTTTATGACTGCATTGGGTACACATGCCACATTTTCATTATCCATTCATCTGTTGTTGATGGACATGCAGGCTAGTCCAGCTCCTGACTGTGATGAAGAGTGCAGCAGTAAACATGGATGGACAGATGTGTGGTGTCTTAGAGTCACTTCAGCTATCTACCCAAGAATGGCATAGCTGGGTCATGTGTTAGTTTTAGTTTTAGCCTCTTGAGGAATCTCTACCCAGACTTCCAGAGGAGCTACACAAGTTGACACTCCTATTTGCAGTGAATAAAAGTTCCCTTTTCCCCACATCCTCGCCAGCATCTGTTGTCATTTTGGTTGTGAGCTTTAACCTTTAGTGACCAAGCTGTCTCTCCAACCCTGTCATTTGTTTCTTGATAACTGACTGAGGTGAGAGAACCTGAAAGTCTTTTGACTTTGCATTTCCCTGGTAATGAAGGTCTGTGAACACTTTTTCAATTTTTTTTTTTAAGATTTATTTATTATGTATACAGCATGTTTGCCTGCAGGCCAGAAGAGGGCACCAGATCTCATTACAGATGGGTGTGAGTCACCATGTGGTTGCTGGGAATTGAACTCAAGACCTCTGGAAGAGCAGTCAGTGCTCTTAACCGCTGAGCCATCTCTCCAGCCCCTTTTTCAAATTTTTACTTGCCATTTTCATTTCTTCTTTTGAGAGCCATCTATTCAATCCATTAATCTAAATATTGATTGGATGAGGTTTTTTTTTCTGTGTATGTGTTTAGTTTTTGAAAAACATCTCATCTGCATATGTGTGTTGTGTAGTTGGCAAAGTGATTTTTCCTGATCTTTAGAATCCCTCTTCTATGTGGTGATGGTTTATCTTGGATGCAGAAGCTTTTTATTTTAATAAAATATTGGAATTATCTCCAGTGCCATCTTTTATAATAGAGCTGAGGTAGAAAAACTAGGATAGCACCCACACAAAAACAGACACATGGGCTGTCGGAACAGAGTAGAGGGCCTGTATTTGACTGTGCCACACTGAACACACTTGATTTTTTAAAATTATTTATTTTCATGTGCATTGGTGTTCTGTTTTGCCTGTGGGAGGGTGCTGGGTCTCCTGGAACTGTAGTTACAGACAGTTGTGAGCCACCATGTGGGTACTGGGAATTGAACCTGGGTCCTCTGCAAGAGCAGTCAGTACTCTTAACCGCTGAGCCATCTCTCCGGTCCCCAAACAAACCTGATTTTATCAGACTAGGGGCCACACAGCTATGGCTAGCTGATTTTGACAAAGGTGTCAAAAACATGTCTTGGAGAAAGGACAGCCTCATCAACAAACAATGTTAGGAAAACTGTATTCCCACAGTTAGTGGAACAAAACTAGACCCATATCTCTCACCTTTCACAAACATCAATTCAAAAGGAACCACAAACCTCATGTAAGACCCAAGACTCTGAAGCCACTAGAGGAAAAAACATAGGTAAAGCACTTCAAAACATAGGCTCAGGCAAGGAATTCCCGGAAATAAATCCAATAGAAAAAAAGCTTTTTGTTTGGGAATAATTGTAGACATATAACTTGCAGAAATGGTAGTGTTCCCATGTTCTTTTTACCCATGTCCCCTCAAAGCAGACTGCATAGGCTTGGGCAGGACGCTGGCACTGGCACTGGTGACCTGTACATCTTTAGGATGTCACCACTATTTACTTGAGCTCATTTTGTGGGTCAGGTAACAGCTGGATGGTGTACCACCTGCATGTGCAGGTTCATGTTCACTGTCCTTCAGCGGGGGTGCAGAACTGCTGCATGCCAACCCCACTTCTAGCAAGTAGGTCTGTTCCTCATCAATCTGTTTTATTTTGAGACTGTTTTATATGCAGAATTCTGAAGCAGCTATCAACTAGTTTTAAAAAGTGTTAAACGTGATTTGTTACCTGTGGTGATTTAAGACATCAGACATGGCAAGTTGGCATTAACCATACCAGACATTTATTAGTTTGGGTTGCCGTCACATAACACCACAGCTGAGTGGCTTAAGCAACAGAGATTTATTTTATCAGCATGGATCTGGAGGTCTAGGATGAGGGTACCAGTGGGTTGATCCCTTTACAGCTTGTAGACGATCTTCTTAGGTCTCCATGTGGCTTGTCTTCCTTGTGCATGCATGACGATGAGTGAGGTGAGGACAGAGGGGATCGGGAGAGCGCTATCTCCACTGTCTGTCATGGGGACATAAGTTCTATCAGATCTGGGCTCTATTTCATCTTAACTTTGCCCTTAGAACCCCCATCTCTCAATGCAGCTAGACTTGGGGGTTAGGGTTTTAACATGCGTTTTTTGAAGAGATAAACATTCAAGAATATTTTACTACAGGTATGTGCCAGACTTAACTTATGAATTCACCTGCTTCTGGGTACTGGGTTACCTCTGCCTTTTGTGTATAGCACTGTTAGGAACACAGTTGTGCAACTATTTGTTCAAGTTTTTGCTTTTACATCTTTTGGGTGTGTACCCACGAGTGGGATTGTCAATCTCACGGAAGCTCTTCTTTGACTCATGTGAGGGGGTACCATACCACATTCCATTTTGGTCACACCCTCCTCTATCCCTCCTGGCAGTGCACAAGGGTTCCAGTCTCTCAGTATGCTTATCACACTCGGAATTTGTTTTATTTCTAAAGTGATCATGCTAGTGGGTGTGACTTTGATCGGTATTTCCATAATGATTAGTGATGTTGATTGGAGGAAATTATTTTCAAAGTGGAAAAAGCTTAGCTAATGGGGATCCTGAAAGTGTGAAGCAGAAGAATGCAACATTGACTGTGGCAATGTCTTATTAACGTTTTGAAACAATTTATCAAGAGGAGATGGAATGCCAGCCTGC